TACTTGTTTTTACAGAAGACAGCTGACACATGCAGGAGTTGCTCTACGCTTGTTCAAGGTTCTGTTCAACTCTGTGACCCTCTCACGTTTGTGTTTTCATCATGATTTTCCAGTTTATAGTTTTAATTTGTATTTTAAATACTGAACAGTGTGTAAGTAGAATTAGCATGGAAACAGATAAAATACAAAACCTAGTTGTGTATTTTTTCTGCAGTATGTTGGTGTCTTTTATCCAGGGCTTTAAAGAAACAACGATAAACTTCCTTCAGGGCAGTTCTGCAGAACTCTGCAAGTTCCACAGTGGCTCAGTGAACACATGCTTCTATAACAATAGATATGATCGGTTTATTAGTGTGTATTTAGGAAAATAGGAGTCGTAAAATCGAATTTAAATGGGAAAAGAATACTGAGAATGATCAATCCTATTTTTGGAAAGGAAAGCAATTAAGTGGAGTGTAGGTGATTGGATGAACTGACTGTTTTCCCATGGCTGTCCCCATCGGGACCACCACCTACCACAGAATTCAGTTTTTCTCTTTTCCTCCTTCCCGTTCTACAAGTGAACCACTTGTAACGTGTGTGAGAAGGTCTGTAAATAGTGACTTATGTAGGAACTTTGCTTCCCACTCTGCAGCTCGTCTAGCCTCCCCTATTCCAAAGCTTTGTTAATTAGGGCAGCTGCTTTGGCAGTGGATTAGTTGCTCTTGGTAGGTCTGCAGAGTTAAACCTCAGGCAGCATCTTCCTCCGCCTCATTACCCTGCCACTGTGCTCTCTCCATGAAAACAAACAAATCTGCAGAGTTACTTAGGGATCAGTGGAACAAAGGAGCTATTTAATCTTCTGGCATATTGGTCTTTTTAAGCAAAGAAGAAAAAGGGAGCGCAGTAGAATGCAAGTACAAAAGCAAGAGCTTTATTTACAGAAATAAATAACCTCTGTTAATTGTATGGGGTTGGCTGCAGATAACCCGACGATGAATCATCATCTGCTTGAAAATGAACATCACTAATGTTGTTGGCATATAGCATAAGAAAAGAGAGAATAGTGTAGAAAATGAGCTGATTTAAAATGATTACCATATGCTTACCATCAGGGTAATTGAAAATTCTCCCCGTCTGTTCTCTCCTCCAAGCTGCCTTGCAAACACCACCACCCGAATTCACTGGAGTTGCAGGGATGAAACAACATTGAACACTTCAAAGTTATTCTTGTGGTTTGGTGGTGATGTGTGCTAACTGTACATATACCTTAAGATTCCAGACTATTTGAACAGAAGCAGCGGAGGTGGTTAATCAGGAGAATCTGTGAGGATGCTGCATTTTTCCTCTTTCTGTGTTTTGTTCACACGTATGCTTGGAGTGGTAGCATCTTGCTGGCTTTTTTTTCCCTGCATTCTTTTAGTGTAAATGTATCTTTTTTTCAGAACTTGAATCTAGTAATTTGTGATTACAAAAAATGATTAGTTAAGAACAGGCAACTGATTCAAAAAGGGTGAAAAGATTAAAAGAAAATTAATTATGTATGGATTCCGTTTTACAATGAGTTTTAGGTTTTTATAATCACCTACTTCTGGAGTTATTTCTACATCGATCCTTGCTGAAATCCATCATGGAAACAATTCTGCAGTGTTTTTTTTAGTCTCTGGTTCTGAACAGTTGGCTGAACTATAGAGTTAATATTGTGAAGAAGACAGATTTCAGCTGATCGTATCCTGAGCTGTAGTTCAGGAAGAAGCAAACTACCTCTGCAGACCAGTCACCAATCTTTTCTTCTCTGTGCACAGTTGTAAGAAGGTGTGTTTTACCACCTGTTCCCAGCCAAATTTCTCTACAGAGCGGTATTGCTGGGAGAGATTCAGCTTTTGACTAATAGTGCCTAATGCAGTTGGGTAGGAGACAGTTACGCTCCTTTCATTTTGGACTGGTATAATGGGGTCCTGTTGACAGACTAAAACAAAACAGCTGGGGGGGGGGGGGGGGGAGGGGGAAACAGGGGGACCCGGGGGGGGGGGGGGGGGGAAGAGTGCAAGCAGTGGGATCCACTGCCTGTATCTACGTGAGCAAGAGGTGCAGTGTGATAAAAGGAGCTCTGCAGAGCACTCAGGACCCAATTTTCATGCTGTTTGTCTGCTTTGGGTTTTTACTTTACAGCAGCAGCTTGGTCCTTTGATCTGAAAGTCTGTTTTTATTGAAGTGCATCTTCTGCTTTAGTTTCATCTAAAAGGAACCCAGTTCAGTGTATCCCATTTGACGAGCTGATTCTGTGGTCTTAGTCTGTGCTTTATGGAGGAGACGGCTGGTTCCCAAACTAGCCAATTTTACCTTAGGGTGTAAAATGCTATGTGGTGAAACATTTCGGCTCTTAGGAGATCCAAGTAGGAAATAAGATCTAGTTTATTGATGAAACATGGAGGTCAAAAAAAAAAAAGAGGAAAAATTAACAGATGAATTTTTGGAGTCATGATTTCTGCAGCTGCTCTGTAGATCAGTACGTTGCTGTCACCTTGTAATATTTCTTGCAGTATCCTAATCAAACTGTTAGGTATGATGCACCTTACAGCTTAATGTAGTTCATGGACCACAGCCTCGAGAGCGGCTGTGTAGAACTGTACTCTTATGTGCATGAAACAGCCATTTGTCTGCAAACATCTGTAAGTATTTAAATGATAGCTGTATTGTCATTTACACACTTGCTAGACGTTTTTCATGAATATATGGAGTGTTGCAGGATTGGAAGTGCTGCTGTTGCCATTTGTTGATCATTCTACTTCAAGCTGTTCAGTTTGTACTGCTGTTGGTAAACACAAAGATTACTTGTTGGTGATTTTGCATCATGAAAAGATTGAAAGAGACGATCACATCTAGAATCTCTAATTCTACCGTTTTGTATGTAAAATAAAGTACAAAATGTGTGCTAGGAAATTAAAAGTTTTAGAAGCATTTTTTTCATTTTGTAATTGTTCAAATAGCAGATATGCATGTCTGTGTGAAATGAGTTCTCTGTAGATTTGAGATTAATAATAGCTAAAATTTAGGGTTTGATATTTTTTGCTTTGGATACCTGTTGCTTGTAAAGCTTGAAAATGCTTGCCGAAAAATGCCAAGTTCTCATGGCACATAGAAACCTTAACTCTCATCTGAAATAAATTGTCTTGTGGCTTTAGTGATAATACTTGGATGTTTTTCCATGAAGGGTTTGTTTCCAGTCCGTGATACAGAGACAGCTTGAGCTGTGCTGGTGGATGACCGGTCTGTGAGGTTAAGTCATACCACGTTTAATCGCCCGCACCACCTGCTCTCAGTGTAGTAGCCAGTAAGATGTGTGATAATTTAAGAAAGTGGAGAGAATATAACTGTGGGTTGTCTCTTGCCAGTGTACTTCACCTTAGTTTCAAAACTTGCACCCCACTGTCTTTTCATCCTGTTAGTAAATTCTCCCTACTCACACTTGGTCTTTAGGAGAAGTTCGTGGCCATTGCACGTCTTCTGTGCTGACATGATGCCACTGAGTAGACCGGCATTCATGTGAAAAATTATTGCCTAAAGGTTAATTACAGAAGGGAGTGATGCATTTGGGATATAGCAGTGTCCCAGACTTCATCCTTTTCTAAAATAACCTGTGCTTTATTTATACAGTAGATTAATTACTGCTTCTTTGCCTTTCTGATAATGAAGGTAATCCTTTCTATCTGCTTTTCTGAGAGACTGTTCTACTGTTCCAGGTCTTGCGTGATTCAGAATCATCACTAATGTAACACTTTGGAAGGATATGAATGTACGCTACTCTCATAGAGCTGCCAGGAGCATGTCACATAGCATTTGATGTCATGTTTGATGCCTGTCTTGAGTCGTACTGGTCTGGAATCAAATCCTTCCCAGGGAGTTCAGTTTCACAAAGCAGCATCTGCATTCATGAGAATATGGACCACCTGAATTCTTAGGAACAAATTTTTAGGAGCTGGAGCAGAGAGGTTTGCAGTTGAGGATTCTAGACTACAGAGCTATTCTCTCTCATCCGAGAATATAAAAAGAAGAGTTTTGTTGTTTTTCTGAGCACTTTGGAA